CACAGAGACAGAAGAATAGTACCAATAAAGATTTTGATTTCATGTGCATATTTGCAATGCCAAGACTTTATTCCATGGCTATTTTCCAGATTATTTCAAAACCTTGTTATAAATTAAGCCCTTGCAACAGTTATCTTAGAGATAATTTTTATGCATAATGCCTTCCCAGGCTATGTGGCATTTTTTAATTCATTTTTTGCTTCCACATTTTAAAAATGGCATTGTTGCCTGCCTTGATTTACTGGGTACCGCCTTTGCAGCTTTTAGAAGAAAAGCTAGATATAGAAATCCTAATTAGAGCTAGGAAAAGAAACCTCTGTTTCAGCTTTAGGTTGTAATATGCTGGTGAAAAAATAAGAACTGCACTGCTTTGAAAAACAAAGCAAACATTTGTTGTTGCTGTTAGTCGCGAAGTCGTGTCCCACCCATCATGACCCCATGGACAACATTCCTCCAGGATTCCTGTCTTCTACCATCCCTAAAGTCCATGTAAACTCACAATGACTATTTCAGTGACTCCATCCAGCCACCTCATTCTCTGTTGTCCCATTCTTCTTTTGCCCTCAATCGTTCCCAGCATTAGGCTCTTCTCCAGTGAGTCCTTCCTTCTCATTAGATGGCCAAAGTATTGTGTTTCATCAGAGCAAACATACATACACACAAAAGGTACAAATCTGTTTCTCTAGACCTAAGGATGCTACAGAGAATTGTGAGCCACAGCAATCCACATTAATCTTGGAATAAATCCCTTTTCTAGGTTGCATTTTGCCTTAATCCGTAGAAATGTATTTTCTTCTTCCTTTACCTCAGAGATAGAAACAAGGTTTCCAAATCCTTTAAACTTCAGAATACTTTATATAGTGAAATTAACACCAACAGTAGCATCATTTAGGATCTATCTAGTTGTATTTATCTCGTTGTCCTTTAAGAAAAAAAAAGCAGGGAGATAGATTGCAGAATGGCTTTCAAAAATGAGTGTCCTATTTTGACAATATGAAGACATGTTCTTGAATTTTACTTCAGGAAATCAGAAGAAAGAAAAGCCACTATGTACTGGGCAAGCTAACCCGATTAGTTCATTTCCAAAAACTACAGGAAAAACATGACATTATAGAAAAACACAAAAAAGTTCTGTTTTTTGGCAGCAATCTGCTGTGCAAGTCACTCAGTAGTGATTCATTAGCACTTTTCCTCATTCTACATAAAAAAAGCTAGCAGAAAACCCTAACATTGGCTGACTTAGCCTAACAATATCAAAAGGGCTCTGTCTGAAAAAAAATCCAGACAGATGATTAAAGACAGCTTCAATTTGCAATTATCATAAACAAGATGCCATTTATTTGGCCTCTGCACCAATCCATCCTCAAATTTTTGCCTTAAGTTTTATTTATTTTTATTTATTTATTTTGATTTGTCAATCGCTTACAATATAATAGGTATAAGTATATACACACTTATGAATACATGAAATGGGTACATATAAGAAAAATAAAAGAAACAATAGGACAGGGACGGTAGGCACGTTGGTGCGCTTATACACACCCCGTACAGACCTCTTAGGAAAGGGGTGAGGTCAATAGTAGACAGTCTAAGGTTAAAGTTTTGGGAGTCAGGAAGAGTATTCCAGACATTGACCACTCTGATGTTGAAGTCGTATTTCCTGCAATCAAGTTTGGTGTGGTTAACCTTGAGTTTGTATCTATTGTGTGCTCTTGTGTTGTTATGGTTGAAGGTGAACTATTTATTCATTGACAGGTAAGTCATTGCAATGTATGATTTTATATACTATACTTAGATCAGACCAAAGACGGCATAATTCAAAGTTTTCTAAGTCTAGAATTTCAAGTCTGGTGGCATAAGGTATTCTACAATGAGTAGAGGAGTGGAGAATTCTTCTTGTGAAATATTTCTGGACTTTCTCAATTGTGCTAATATCAGATACATAATGTGGGTTCCAGACTGATGAGCTGTATTCAAGTATTGGTCTAGCAAATGTTTTGTATGCTCTAGTTAGTAGTGTAATATTACCAGAGAAAAAGCTACGTAGGATTAGGTTAACAACTCTTAATGCCTTTTTGGTTATGTAGTTACAGTGGGTTCTAGTACTTAGATCATTAGAGATGAGTATTCCAAGGTCCTTTACAGAGCTTGGATCATCAACAAGGTCTTGACTATTTACAGCTTGTATTCTATGTTCTGATTTTTTTTGCCAATATGTAAGACAGAGCATTTTTTGTTGAGATTTGAAGTTGCCATTTGTTTGACCATTCTGATACATAGTCAAGATCTTTTTGAAGGGTAGTAGTATTGTCTGTGGTATTGAACAGCTTTACATCATCAGCGAAGAGAATACAGTTGCTCTTAATATGATCACAGAGGTCATTTATGTACAGTATGAAGAGAGTTGGTCCTAGAACACTGCCTTGGGGCACACCACTATTGACAGATACAAAATTTGATAGGACACTCCCAATTTTGACTATTTGTTGTCTGACAGGAATCCTTCTATCCAGTTATGCAGTTGTCCAGAGATACCATAAGATTTTAGTTTTAGGAGTAGTTTGTCATGTACCACTGAATCAAAGGCTTTACAGAAGTCTATGTAGATTGCGTCTATTGTTTTGCCCTGATCGAGTTGTGTAGTCCATATGTTTTTGCATATATTCATGAGAAATAAAAAGGAAAAGTATGGAACTTGATTTTATTTATTAGATTTTTTTCCCACCTTTATTACTTTATAGATAACTCAAGAAAGCAAAAATACATAATAGCTATGGAGATTCTCAATCAGTCAGGTCATGGTTGTCCCAAAAGTGCTTTTCCAAAAAGCAACTGGATCTTTTTCTTCAATTGAAGAAGCTTGTTAGATTAGAAGAAAAATATTTTCAAGGGGAAAAAAAACAAGAAAGTCTAATTGCATTTTGGAAAAGCACCTTTGGGATAGATAATACTCCTTCCCTCCTCCTATTTTCCCCATAATAACAACCCTGCGAGGTGGGTTGGGCTGAGAGAGATTGATTGGCCCAAAGTCACCCAACATGCCTAAGACAAGATTAGAATTCATAATCTCCTGGTTTCTAAGTCAGATTTTAGCTAGTACACAAAAGTGACTGAAATTAAATTAAGTTTCTTAAATTATTACTTCAATTACAGAAATATACGCTGTACAGAAGTAATTCCTGAAGTGCTTCCATATTGTACATTTGTACCCTATTTTTTTACGAGGGATCAATGTATTTATATTTTCTAGTTGCTCTAGAAAGGGGTGCAGGGTTTCAGCTTAAGCAAAACAAATCCCCTTTATCCTGGGAGTTAGCAAAGGAATACAGCACCTTGTTTTACAGAAATAGCATTTCAACTGGAAAGTATACATCAACTTGTGCATACTGAAAACTTAATGCCCAGTTACTAAAATGAAGGTACTGTGAAGAACTGTTCAGAAACTTCATGAGTCCAAATCATTACTTTACTGACTAATAAACTGCAAAGCCAGTACAGTATTTTCACCTTCAAGTTTCTATTGTTTGTCCCATATGATGACAAACACAGTTTCTCCTTCTTTATAACAGGCCTATTGACAGAGCAGAAATGTGTTTTTTTCTGCATGGTTATCCCTGGTAACAAATAACTAATATTTCTTAATCACCTCAAATATTTAAAAAAAAATCCCCCCCCCACACGTTTGGCTTAATTATTCAGAAATGTAATTCAAGCTGCTGGCTATCACCTTTAAAGCTCGCACATAGTTTGAAGTCTGGTGATCTTCAAGAACTCATACTCCAAATTGAAACTGCTTGCCCCAGAAATACTTTCTCTTAGGCATGGTGGGTGATGAGCATTTTCTACAGGAGGTTCCCTTATGTGGAATGGACTCCACCCAGAATAAAACCTGTACTCTCCTAACATTTACGAAGTGGTTAAAAACTTGCCTAGCCCAAAAGCTTTTGGGAACCAAAGTAGCTGTTAGGTGGCTATGCTTGGCACAACTTAAGGGTGATAGTAATATGTATTACTAATACTGGTTGTGATGATTAGATCGGTTACTCACAATTGTTTTATGGTTATTGCATTTCTTTACTATGTTATTCTATCTGTGTGTTTGCAAGCCACTTAGTGTCACAGTGATTTGAAGTGGCATATAAGCCTTCATAAAGAAAATAAATGGCTTGCATATAAACATCTTCTAAAATGTTCTTGTGATATAATGGGGAGCAATACAAGCCATCATTGGCTAACATTAAGCAACTTAGGACAGGGTGGATTAAAAAACATGGATTTTGCAAGAGCTGAGTATTAAAAAAATGAAATATAGGTAAATGTACCCTCACCCCTATTATTACCTTCAGTTATTAACTTACCCTACTAGTTTAACCTATACAATTTACTTATCTTATAACATACTAAAATGTCTTTCTTTGGCTATTCCAGCTGAATCTTACAGCCCATTTTTTTTAGATCTCCTTACTCAGATTATCAAAATATGAAAACTCTGTTTTTTCTTCATGCTTGGAAGTACTGGGCTTATTTGCTACCCTCTTTGCCTGAAAGGAGGTACACAAAATATCCTCTGAGGCAATTGATAGTCTATCCTTGAAGAACTCTTACATTTTACACTTTCTACTATCCAGGAAACCATAACAACTATGACATAACTGTGTGTGTGCGCACACAATTTTTTCAGGGCAAATGAATGTCATGTTAAACATTGCTTTCCAGAACATGAGCAGGGCAAGGACAAAAAAGTGGGAGCTGAAACTTACATTTTAATTATATTTAAATATGAATTTAATTACATTTTCATTCAATTAATCAAGTTCAGTTAATATGATCATCCCCTCTACATTTAATTCTTTGCACTTCCCAGCCCACATTTCTAAAAACCAAGAACTTTTACAAGGGAACTAGAAGGCCATCAGCTGTGGACTTTTGCTCTAAGGAATGCACATGATTTTGACACAAATGAGGGAAGGGGAAAAAAATGTATCTACGGCTCAACTTACGCGGATTTTGATGATCCTTGTCTTTGTACCACAATTCTTCTTAAACAGCATCTTCTAAAAGAGAAGCAAAAACCTAAGGTGAAAGTCAGCTGAAGTTTGAATGAGAAATGTAACATTACTTCATAATGAAAATCAGTGAAGTACTAGAAAGGAGACTGAAGAGTGCATTAAAAGGATTTTTCAAAACCCAATACTTTGAACTTAAAGGGTGTTATTGTGTTGAAAAAAGGGAGCAGGTTAGAATGACTCACAATGAGACAGAAAAAAAAGAGACTAAATTTTTGGTTGAAAGTATTACCATTTGGTATATAATAGGACTACTTTGGTATATACTGTAACTCACCTTTTTAATGTTATCCTGTTATATTTTACTCTCGATCAACTAAGCTGTGTGCTTGATGTGATTATCAAGATGCAAATTCATTCTAAAAGAGTCACAAATTTTTTTCTATATGCAGCCGCTGTGATTCCCTACACGCCCAAATTTTGAATATTAGTTTAGCAATATTTCTACTCTTCCCTTAACAATTATTTTACAGTGTTCACCGGAGAAAAAGATCATTAAGTCCTTTAAATTCAGGGCACAGACTGAAAGAGAAATCAACAGTACTTATTGTAATGCAGTGGATGGGAACATTTTAATTATTATTAATGATTCATAAAAATATAAGTGAAGAGAAATATGGAAAAAAAATGATTATGGAAAGTTTATAACTGTTCACAAGAAAGTATGATATTCAATTGAAAAGAAATTATATTAAAAAAGAACTAATATTAATGATAGAATTGAATTGGAATGGAATGGATGTTTTATTTACTATTGATATACACACACACACACACACACACACACACACACACACATACATACATATATACATATACATATATATATATATATATAGAACATAGTGTGTATTTTAAGAATGTACCAAGCAGAATTCAATTGGAAGTTATGTATGATATTCAATGTTATAATTTTAAAGGCATAAATTGAAGTTTAAATAGGAGTTGAATGGATAAAATTAAAAGATATAAAGGTGTCATACTCCAATTAGTAACTACAGGGGAAAATTTGTTTAATGAGAAAAGATAATATGAAATTGAAACAGGACAGACAAAAGTATAAATATAAAGATTGGAAAGACATTGAAACTTAGAAAAAGATATATAATTGAATTTAGATATGAGATAATTAAAAATAAAGTTGAGAAAATCAAGGGAGGGGAAAAATTATGGAGAAAATGTTAAAATAGTAATAAGATATGGAGTAGAACACAAAGATGAATATGAAATTGAGTTTGTGTCTGTATGAAGAAGTGATAACCCAGGATCATGCTATTCTCAAAAAAAGATGTCTTATTTGTATTACGTTTTTGTGAAAACCCAAATAAAATTCATATTAAAAAAAAAATCTGCTACTGGTTCTCCAGAACTGGTCAGAACCTGCTGAATATCACCTCTGAAGTGAGGTAATTAAAAAGCTACTATATACAAGTTTGCCTGCCTTTCTCAAACTTCATCCTACTTGCCCATAGCCATTTTGTAAACAACAAAGGGAGTTATTTTATAAGACATCCAGAGTTCCTGTCAAAATTTTGAAAAAGACTGCAATCTTCTACTTTAAGAATTCCTGTCTATTTCATTTTCTTCAGTGGAACATGAAAATTTATGTAGGGAAAATATCTAATTAGGACCTCATAAAGTACAGCTAAAACCCTGCCTTTTCTCTACTCCTCTTTTCTCTATGCATGTGCTGATTGCTGAACTGTGGTCACTTTTTATGCAGGGCTAGATAGAATGTTGTATAAAACAGTTCATGCTATCTGCTATTACAGAATGCTAGCAACTTAACATTAAATTTCTTGCTGTCTTTTTGTTGTGTGCCTCTTAGAGAAGGCATTGTACCACTAAGGCAATCTAAAAAGGCTTTAAAATAAGTTAATTTAGTGGCATCCTAATGTGCCAAATTCTAGTAAGTAAAGCTCCTAGTAAGTAAAGCTCCTCTAGTAAGTAAAGCTCCATACCAGGAAAAGTAGTGCCAGCTACTTTACTAGATCTCTATTAGATGCAGCAAAACAAGATCCCACAGTAGCCAAATTTCATATCATAATGTATCTTCCCATTTTGTTATGAATTTGTTTAAACTATTTATATTAGCAGTAGTGGGGATGCCAAGTATTTCTACTTGAAACTTCCTGCATCTGCTCTTATTTAGCAATGTGAAAGAAATCTGACATAGATTTGTTAGAGAACTGGTCTTATAATGGACTGCATATTTGTAGTAACAGTAAAAAACAGTATGATAATGTTTTCGTTCTCATCAAAAAATCTATAAAAAAGACATCTCCTTGCCGAAAAAGGGCATTGGTACTTATCTGACATGCCCGTTCTCTTTGAGCTGCAAAGAGCATCCAGTAGTGGGAGGTGCTTCAGTCTCTGCTTGTCTAGGCTGGGCTTAATTTGCGGAACGTTCCTCTTCCTCCACAGGACTCCTCCCCAGTGTTCCCCAGTTTTGGCGAAGTCGATAGAAACAAATACCCTTCCCCTTAATATGCTAAAATTCGTTGGCCGAAACAGGATCCCACCAGATGGAAAGAGGGCAGGTCTGGATGCTCTTCGCAGCTCAAAGAGAATGGGCGTGTCAGGTAAGTACCAACGCCCTTTCTCCCACGAGCTGCTCAGAGCATCCAGTAGTGGGACATACCAAAGCTTGGCCTGTCCTACAGGAGGGACTCCGTCTGTCTTGGGATCCCCTCCTGGTCCCCTTGGACCCGTTGCAGAACCCTTCTGCTAAAGGAGGCCTCAGCTGATGCAAACATATCTATTTTATAATGCCTAATGAAAGACGATGGAGAGGCCCAGGTTGCAACTCGACAGAAGTCAGTGATTGGTGCCTGCGTGGCCCATGCTGCCGATGTTGCGGCGCTCCTTGTTGAATGAGCTGTTATGCCCCTGGGCACCTGTAGTGATTGAGTCTGATACGCTTTCGTTATTGTGGCCCGTAACCAACGGCCTATTGTGGAGGATGAGACCTTGCATCCCTGAGTATTGGGCTGAAAGGACACAAATAAAGCTTCCGTTTTTCTGAAAGACGCTGTGCGGTGAATATATATTCACAATGCTCACCTCACATCCAGCCGATGCCATTGTCTTTCCAACCCTTGGGATGGCTTGGGACAAAAATTAGGAAGTATCAGTTCTTGTGCCCTGAGAAAGGCTGAATTAACTTTGGGTATGAACACAGGATCAGGATGAAGGACAACCCGGTCGGAATGGAAGACGCAAAGATGTTGCCTGATCGACAAGGCTGCCAGTTCCAAAATACGATGAGCGGAAGTGATCGCTACGAGAAAAACTACTTTATACATCAGAAATTGGAGACTTGATGATTGCAAAGGTTCGAAAGGGCACTTAGTGAGTGCAAGAAGGACCTTGTCAAGGTCCCAAGTGGGATAACGGTGAACCATTGGAGGGCATAAGTTTGTGGCTTCTTGAAGGAAACGTTGTATGTGTGGATGATGGGAAAGAGATAGGAGACCTTCATAAGTGACGACTGACACCAAGGCCACCACTTGTCTTTTCAACATATTAGGTGATAATCCCGTCAAACCCCTCTTGTAAGAACTCTAGGATTTGAACCACAGATGGAGAAATGGGATCAATTTGAGACTTGGCACACCATTTGCAGAAACTGGACCATGTGGCATTGTAGATCCAAGTTGTTGAGGGGTGTCTGGCAGCTTTGATGGTGGCGATAACTCTGTTGGAAAACTTTTCATTCTTGGATGAAATTCAGACAACTCTTGGATTCTTCAGACAACTCTGCTCAACCTCCAGATGGTCAGGTGCAACCATTGAGGGTCCGGATGTTGAAGGGGTCCCTGGGTTAACAAGACCTTGTCTGGTGGAATTCTCCATGGTTGTGATACGGATAGACTGCAGAGGTCTGCAAACCACGACCGTCTGGGCCAGTAGGGAGCTACCAGAAGCAGCTCCACCCTCTCATCGAGCAGCTTCTGGATGACCTTGGGGATCAGTGGAAGTGGCGGGAATGCATACAGAAGCCCCAGGGGGCAACGGCAATGGAGCACATTGAAATTATCTGCTCCTTGTGAGGGGTATCTGGAAAGAAATCTCGGGAGCTGAGCATTGAGGGGGGAAATGAACAGGTCTACCACTGGCTGCCCAAATGTCCTGACCGCCTCTTGAAAGAGGGTTGGATGGAGGCGCCACTCCAATTGATCTATCGTGGCCCTGCTTAGCCAATCTGCCTGTGTATTCAACAGTCCTGAAATGTGTTCTGCTCTGATGGGAATCAGGTCGCTCTCTGCCCAACGACACAAACGCTCCACTTCTCGCATGAGGTGTTTCAACTGAGTTCCCCCGTTTGTTTATGTGAGCTTTCACGGCTACGTTGTCAGTCAATATTAATATGTGTTGATTGCGTACCTGCATCATCAAATCTGTAATGAAGGTGACTGTCGGAGGAGCGAGACCGCGTGGTAGACCTAAACAACGCTGGATGGACACGATCAAGGCCGATCTAGAGATCGCGAAGGCAGACCCGACACACGTGGCAGACAGAGAGGTGTGGAAGCAGTACTCAAGGACATTAGCGGACCTCGCCCGAGCGCGAGACAAACGCTGAAGAAAAAGAAGAAGATTGCGTACCTGTGGAAAGAAGCTGCCGAGAGCCAAGAGTACTGCTAGAAGCTCCAGCCAGCTTATGCTGCATGTCTGTTCTACGGAGGACCAGCGGCCTTGGGCTGTGAGCGATTGAAAGTGAGCTCCCCATCCAAAGAGGCTGGTATCGGTGGTGATGGTAAGTCTGTGGGGCTCTTTGAATAGACAACCTTTATTTATGGCTGGTCTGGTCCACCAGAGGAGAGATATGAGGACCTGTGATGGAACCTTGACCTTGTATTTGGAGTTGCTTCAGCCGTATCACTGGTACAGAAGCAGGAACCACTAGAGGGATCTAGTGTGGAGCCGGGCCCAAGGAATAATAGATATACATGAGACCATCTTGCCTAACAATTTTGATAGATCAG